GGTAGCGTCCCGCCTAGGATGTAACTCAGTGCTCCAGAATCACTAACGTGATGTCATGATTGTGATGGTACAATCCAAACGCAATACAAACACTCACTGGGCGATATCGCAATGATTCCTCATAATATTGCCTTCGCAGTTGGCGAATAACAAAGAAGAACTGACAAGGAAGTGGGGAGTGAGAAAGCGAAAGCAACTGTCAATGGGTTCAAGGTCCAAATCAGTGTTGAGAACTACTTCTAAATGGCAGGACGACATGGCTGTGATGAGACTCTGTCACTCTATCCTATCCTTCTATACATAAAGCAGTAGTGAGAAGTGGATAGTTGCTCCTAGGGCGTCATGCTTGAAAGGTAGCCTAGGAGCAACTATCCACTTCTCACTACTGCTTTATGTATAGAAGGATAGGATAGAGTGACAGAGTCTCATCACAGCCATGTCGTCCTGCCATTTAGAAGTAGTTCTCAACACTGATTTGGACCTTGGAACCCATTGACAGTTGCTTTCGCTTTCTCACCCCCACTTCCTTGTCAGTTCTTCTTTGTTATTCGCCAACTGCGAAGGCAATATTATGTGGAATTATTGCGATATCGCCCAGTGAGTGTTTGTATTGCGTTTGGATTGTACCATCACAATCATGACATCACGTTAGCGATTCTGGAGCACTGAGCTACATCCTAGGCGGGACGCTATCTATAAGGAGGCATCCTCTAGGAGTAAGCCTAGAAAAGGCAACAGCTCCAGGGAATGAAAACGGCCCACACATTTAGGGTCTCACCTCACTCACCTAGCCTACTCGCATTTTTAGCAAAAAAGGCATGTTTCACACTGTTTCCAACACAATGCCTTGCATACTACGATAGCGTTTTAGGCTTCTGGCCAACATACAGTCGATATCCGAAAGTTGGGGTGGGTGTGTCACCGGAAGTGACGTGCACTTGATAGAAGTTGCGTGGATAAGCTGTTGCCAGCATGCTTTGCTGATATCCAGCGATGTATGTTGGAAGCAGCTTATCCACATAGCTTCTATCAAGTGCACGTCACTTCCGGTGACACGCCCACCCCAACTTTCGGATATCGAGTATACCTTCAACAGTACACTCATTCGACAAGCCAACTTATAGGTCTATGCCACAGTAAGGGTTTTCTTGTGGACTTGCTCTGTGACTAAAAGGAAACCTTAAACCTCCGTAATGGCTTATGCAGCTTGAGACATACTGCTTCTTTCCGCCATCTTGATCTCATAGTGCATACGTTAGAGTATCACTTCTTTTTACAACGATATCCGTCATATCCGATAATTTTGGTAGTATTGATGAGGGAAATATATTGTGTATTTCATGGCCTAAGATTGCTACTCCAGGCCTTTTTTGCCTATTAAGTGAAAAACAGTCATTCGACGGTGCCGGCGTCGGCTGAAGCCCTCTGACTGGTTTTATCTAACCTGGTTGTAGTGCATTTCTGATGAGGCAGTTGTAGGTGATGTTGGTTCACTCTCTATCTCAGCATCATAGTGGAACGGCGTCACATTGGGACTTTTCATGAGGTAGTTCACTGACGCTGCACTCACACAATACGATGACTCGATCAAAGCTGAAAACCTTGTTTGTGTTCGGTTAAATAGCGACCTCGATGGTTTCGTGAGCCTAATCTTACGTTTGGTACTTATCGGCTTTGGAGCGAAATAGTGCTCCGGAACACGTGGAGGAATGGATCGATGCATCTGCGGAGGATTTGGCTGGAATGAAGAGGTGACTGAAACGGTTAGTCAGTTGAGTTCGGCACCCTATCTCTGACTACAGTGGAATTTCCCAGCAGTCTGACCATTTCATGTATAAGATCTTAGCATAAAAAAGGAACGGAGATGAAAACCTGTGTTGGTTCATGATGATCCGGTTCACTGCTCTGTTTCTTACGCTCTGCTGTGTAGTAGTAGACGCTCTTGATAAATGGGCGATCAGCCATAGCGAAGAAGTGAGCCAGTAGGAATAATGGTCATCGCCAACCTGATCGAGTTTTTATACGCTACGATAAGAATGCTTTCATAAGGTGGAAAGTTATCATGGAAAGTATGAACAACTGAGTCAGCATGAGCTAATTCAAGTGATCTTGATAACCGTAACGGTCGCACTTGTGCGAAGAATGATGAGAAAGAAGAAGGAAGCGATATAAGAAGACGATAGAAGCTGTTCTGTCATCCGCGCGTTCATGAACGAGATTTGAAAGCTTGTTCCCAAACTCTGCACTCGACTCGGCATGTCCTTGCTGACGTGTCGAAAACGCTTGCTGAACTAA